GTATGTACGGCATGATAGATACAGATAAGATTTGCGAATGATGTTCATTGACTACAGCTGCCGGGGAGGTCATGGAGGAATTCCCGTTGCAGGATCGTATTTCTGTCATCTGCCTTGCGTTATTTTTTTTAAGATTTTTATGTTGAATCGTCCTTTGGGGAGGGGCTTTTGCCTATCTTATCGTGCCTTATCTGAACTATCAACACTATGATAAGGTTAATGAACGATTATTCTAGGATCTATTGCGAGAACCGGTGGATGTCCTGCATTCCACAGCGCAGGTCATCCCCCTTAGAGCTCCTCATTATGGCACGCAGGAATGTGGAAGCATTTCAGGGTTCCACATTACAGCGGTACTTATCAGAAGTTTGACTTTGAATGAGCCCATTACGTGTCATGAGCGCTGTCATCCTTATTTTGAGTTTTGGAGAGAAACAATGGAGTGCCCCCCCCAAATAGGGGTTTCACTTTTACGACATTTCTTTGCAGGCCTGTGCTGCATTCTTTCGTAGAACGATAGCGTAGGATTATTTGATGAAGGAGGGTACCTTGCCTCCATACGTAAGTTCCCTTTCATACAATGGGATGTTCTTCAGCGTGTGAACTCTGCTTCACTTGATCATTGGCGTTGATTCACTACTTTGATTTGTATTGCAGAGAAGCGAATGTCCTGCAAGAAGTGCCGTTTCGACAAATGCATTGCGTTCAACATGAAGCCAGAATGTGAGTGGGGAGTATGTTTCTCTACTAAAGACCGATCAAAATCCAGCGGTGTTCTGTCAAATGATGGGACATCTCCTAGAAGTCAGCTTGAAGGCTGTCGTCTTTTGGAAGCGGCGTCATGTAATACTGCAAGGCAGACAGCATCACGCGCTGGCGTTAGTGAAGTAGCTGCAGAATATGGGTGGAGCCTCGTCTGCCTATTCCCAGTTGCTTCCTGTGTTCCATGCCGCACCGGGATCATCACCACAGAGTAATATCTTCAGACTTTGTGACGGAGTTGTGGCTGCTGCACTTTTTCTACCCACTGCCGCTCGATCCCCCGCAAGGCTGTCGTAGAGGAACATTTTCGAAGATCTGGAATGAACAAGTCGCTACAAAATCGGGTAGCTCGCAGGACTTGAAGTCACGTCGGCATTAGGTGCTAACGATAAGAGCCAAGAAGAGCTAAGAAGAAGGGTTCCCGAGCGCAGGAGACGCGACACTGTCGCGACTCAAAAGTGCGAGGCAACGGCGCTAAGGCCTTGCCTTGTGTGCTGCCGTGCTGCCATCCTTATCAATGCGGCATACGTGGTGTCTGCGCCCTCTCGCGTACGACGTACTCTCTCGCGTTTTCCCTCTCCTCGCAGCGCTGTGTCTCTCCGTCATACCACGGCCGGCCTCACAAGGGAAATTTAGTGTTTCCTGGTGCTTTTTGCTTTTTCTCCTCACTAGTGTTCCTCATTGCATTTCTTGCCTAATTCTCAAACAAAATAACACACCAATTCAAATCACGAATCGCCTTTGAAGGACGAATTAACGCTGAAAAGCAACCCATTTCAAATTAAGTTAGAGATGGTGAGTGGTACACGAAAGAAGAAAATGAGGAAAACGGCCCAGAACCCGAGAAATGGGACCCCTTCCTTGCCCGTTGATTTGCGCATTGATGCGACTCTCATCGCTGTGCCCTCTTCAACACTACGCTCTCTCAGCTATCTAATCACTCGCCACGTATAGACCTGCGGCGAGTGATTAGATGGTCGGTGGGCGTACACGGCCAACCGCTATGCTGGAGCGCCGAGGTCAAATCTTTCGCTGCCAATTGCGCGTTGGTCAGCACCCTCAGGAGGTGCGCCTGTATCCCAACTAAACCACCTCCCGGGTGTGCACCTTTAGTCAGGATTGACCTTTCACACCTCCTCGTCGTGGTTATCTCGCACCACCCTGTAACCTGCCTCTGGGTGAACCTCACTTAATTAGCTGAGCTAAGTGCTGACCCAGCTAGACGGACTTATGGAAGATATATTGATGTTGGTATCTAATAAATTCATTCATGCAGTAGCGGTTAGAGGAAACAAAATCTCAGAAAAAAGGATAAAAATGGGTCTCAAAAATAATTAATTTTTAGCTAACAGCACTCGCAGAGCGAGCCGTTTCCACGCAGAACAGGTGCGGAAGGAGAAACTCCAGATTGGGGGGGCACTCCATTGTTTCTCCAATGCTCAAGATAAGGATGAGAGCACTAATGACACGTAATCGGCTCATTCAGATTCCGATTAGTATCGCTGTAATGTGGAAGAAGTCCCAAGATTTCTTCACATATTCGCCTGCCATGGTCCATGAAAAGGTTCTAGACAAGGATAATGGACACCTCTACCTATCTAGGGGGTTGAGCTCCAAGGTGGATGACCTGGGTAGAAAAGTGGATAGATGTGGGCAGGATGTGTGGAACGGAGAGCATCCACCAGGCCTTACCAAAAGTACGCTTAAAATGGGTCGTTTACTTATTATCTTATCATAGTGTTGGATAGCACAAAATAGCACAAGTGAATGCTCTCTAGTACTACGTATAAGTTAGCAATGGAGTGGCCCCCGAACTGAAGTTTCACCTTACGAAATTAAAAGTTTCGCCTAACTTTTCTACAGGCAAGCTATCAGGTTGTCCCATAATTAGTGAATCACTTTGGGCATTTTTCAATTTCAATTTTTTTCTTTTTCATATGAAGTGCTTGCTCATCTAATCATCCACCTTTGTTATCCACAAACTATTGCCTACACATGGGAATTTGGTCGCCGTCTCCTCTCTGGAATTCCAGGAGATATTGATAAAAGGAAGATCGGAAGTCAGGTTTGAGGTCATGTCACTTGGCGTAAAATTTCTTCCTGAAGAATAATGGTATAAGTAAGTCTAGGTTATCTTTCGCTGATACGAGGGTAGGGCTTCACGGTAGAGCTGGAAGAACTGCTAGCCCAAAGGTCTGCAATTTTTTATGAAGATTTTCCGAAAGGTGGGGTCGAATGACCTCAGGAAAAAACCAGACTTTGTCTTGCTTTACCCTCAGATAGAACGCATCGCCATTATGCTGTCAACGTATGCCTTACTCACTGACTCTAGTATTACTAGGCTCTGGTTCCCAGCGCCAGGTCTGTTCTGTGCCCCACTAAAATCTCAGAAGTGCCAGACATACAGGTCCGACAGAGGTGGTTGGGCTTTTGTTGTCAGAACTCTCCAATCTTTCAAGCTACTCTGCTGCTCCTTGTGAATTTGCTAGCACACTCCACCCACTTCACAACACTGGTGAGTACGCAGGATGATCACTGAAAAGAACTCTGGGAAGCAGGAGCGAACATGGCGATTTCATATCGTGTTTGGGGGAAGATTTCAGAAAAATTGAAGTTTGAGCCTCGGAAGGAAACGTGTGAACGGGCCGACTGATTGCTTAGGTAGGACATTGTGGTCACTACTTGGCAAAACATGTTTCACGCCTTCAAGATTTTTCATGGAATTTATAGCAATAAATTCAAAGTGATTCACTAATTATGGGCCAACCTAATATTTATGAAAAAGTGTTGCCAAAACGGCACATCTCAAGAAGAAATAGAATGACTTCGCAGTAGGATGTCGAGAAATGTCACTAATACATCTGTATAATCTGAATTTTTTGTTAACTATGCTAAAAATTTGTATAAATTAAACTTTGGTTTGTTTCCGTGAATATAATAAAGATAGACTTGATAATCAATACTGCGCATGAGAGCGATATGTTGGAGCGAGGTCAGCACTCAGCACACCTAATTAAGCAAGGTCTACCCAGAGGCAGGTTACAGGGTGGTGCGAGATAACCACGGCGAGGAGGTGTGAAAGGTCAATCCTGACTAAGTTCCCTCTCCCCCACCTCCCCTCTCTTTCATACTTCGTTCTTTTTGTGAATTCGCCCTCTAAACTATAAATGTTTTGCAATGGCATGGCTGTGAAAACACTCCGACGGCTGGTGCACTGGCAGCGGAGGGCAGTTGGTTGAGGAGGGAGGAGGAAACTCAACCCCAACAGAGCTAAGGAACAGTTTTATATGGGATTATACATGACAGCGATGATGTCCTCTATCATGTAAGGTACCTTTTTGTGCACTGGCATCTCCGCAACGAAGTGTTGACGTCACACTTGGAGGGAGCGCAGCGGAAGGCGTGAAGCTGACGCAGGGAAGGGTGGTCTGGGGACCAATCTGCTCTATTGTGCGACCCGCTGATTTTTGGATCACACATATACACTTTGAAATGTTGAAGTTTCACCTTTCCAAAAGGCCTTTTTCAACAAAGAAAATATTCATTGACACTTATTATGCTTTCTTTCCATAGTGGTGCGATCAACTCGTGGTGCAAAAGCTGTGTCGGTAACGTCGGATGATGACCACGTGGTCCCGGAGCATACAGAATTCCCTTTCCCATCGCAAAGCGTCGATGCTACAAGGCCCCCAGAATTCAAACAATCTTCACGGAACAATGAGGTGTCGCGGTATACCTGTAGGTATGACCTATTCAGTCTTGGAGTACTATTAATTATCTTACAGTATTATTTTATCATATAAGAAGCCAAAATAATCGCCTCTGGCTGGAGTGTGTGTCTCACTCGCTGTGATTTGGAATCCAAAAAGCTGAGTATGACTTCATGTTTTGGAACACACCATTTCAAGCACACCTTATTGAACGCATTGTGTAATTTCTCCTTTTCTCTCAATCAAATTAATCAATCATATGCGGGTGAATTTGGTGGATGAAAAGCTCTAACCCGGCGAGCACTTGCCAGTGATAGAGACACCTTTTTACTGGAATCCTCATTGATGTCACTTTACCTCAGTCAGCTCAGCCGCAGAGTGACAGCCCCTCGATGCTATCAAGTGTCTATAAAAACTCATCTGATTTGGTCCACTTGGCAAGAGAACACAAAAGTGGGCCAAAGCCATGCGGTTGGTAAATATGTGATTTTTTCGGAGGAAGCTTCGTAATTTTCAGTCGCTGACTTGATGAGAGAAGATCGCCGATGGGCAGTTGAGCATTATCAAAAAATAGAAGCGGCGTTGAACAGTCGACGAAAAATCATGTACACGGACACGAAGATGATGGACGTCTTCACAACGCTGTGTAAATGCGTGAGCTTTTATTTCTTATCCTCAGAAGAGAATAATTCCCAATTGTGGTCTCCACTGGTGGCATATCTCAATTTGCTTCGCTATTCGTTTCTTCGCTACTTTCTTTTCGCAAATACATTTTTTTTCAACGGAAGGAGGAGAGGTAGTGGGATGTGGAGTAGGTGGATAACAGCCCATTGGACGAATCAAAAGCTCAGTTTCCTAAATATATGTAATATATGTACGTGTAGAGAAAGGTTTCTAAAAGACTAAAATGTCCAGGCAGAGATTCCGCTCTCACAGGGAAAGCAACTCCCGTTGTCCATGCCCCTCCACTTTCTTCCTTACGTCCTCATTCTTCCTGCCCCGTCTGACGTCATAGTAAACTCTTACACTGCCCGAAATCGTTTACAAGAATTAGGGCCGTTCCCACTGATTTCCGTTGGTTTCTTATAATTCCTTCTTAGAGTTTTCACATAGCAACTCATTTCCTATTTGGGCTCAAACTTGTACCGTGCTCTCGATCTTTGGTAAGGGATTCAATCTCATTTCTGTAACTGCTGGCAGAAATCAAACCACACCTGAAATCAACACTTTCATCATTTCTCGAGGAATGTTAGTTGCTGTTCTATGAGTTTCCTGCTGATTTTTTTTCATTTTTTTGTTGTTGGGCGATCTTGCCATGTTATAGGGCGCACTTTTGCTTTGCTATCTTTACGGTTCAATGCATATATATTACCAGTTGGCGCCGCACGCATTGCGCGCGCAACACAGATCTGTGGCGAATTTTGATGGTGCGACGAAAAATTTCAAATTTGGCTTGATACAATACGAATATCTGAATTCTCCGCTAAATTCTATGCGCTCTTTCTTCGTCAACCATTATCCTATTTTTCTCGGTCCTCGGCCCGGACAATAAATCTCGTGGCGAACTCCGTCTACTTCGGTGCGTGCCCTGCCGACCAATAGCATTTGGCTCCCTTCTTTTCGCCGACCTCTACCCCCTTTTTCACCGGTCTCTGGGACCTCTTGGAACCAAATTACGACACTTTTGGCAAACTCCGCCCACTTAGGTGCGTGCTCTACCCACTAATAGCATTTGACCTCCTTTCCTTCGCCGACCTCTACTCCCTTTTTCCCAGCCTCCTGGACTTCTTGGGGCCGAGTTATGAATTTTCGTCGCAAACTCCGCCCACTTTGGTCATGTCCCTCCCACCATTGACAGCTGGCCTCCACTCCTCCACCCACCTCCATCCACCTTTTCCGCGGCCTCCGGGACTTCTTGGAGCCAAGTTCATGAATTTTCGTCGCAAACTCCGCCCACTTTGGCCAAGCCCCGCCTACCACTGGCCTTTGACCTCCACTTTCCCACCCAACTATATCTTCTTTTTTCCCCACTCTCCGGGACCTTCTGGAACAGAGTTCTGAATTTTCGTCGCAAACTCCACCCACTTTGGTCAAGCTCCGCCCACCAATGACAATTAACCTCCACTCCTCCACCCACCTCTATCCACCTTTTCCCCAGCCTCCGGAGCTTCATGGAGCCGAGTTATAAATTTTCGTCGCAAACTCCGCCCACTTTGGTCAGGCCCCGCCCACCAATGACAATTAACCTCCACTCCTCCACCCACCTCTATCCACCTTTTCCCCAGCCTCCGGAGCTTCATGGAGCCGAGTTATAAATTTTCGTCGCAAACTCCGCCCACTTTGGTCAGGCCCCGCCCACCAATGACAGTTAACCTCCACTCCTCCACCCACCTCTATCCACCTTTTCCCAGCCTCCGGGACTTCTTGGAGCCGAGTTATGAATTTTCGTCGCAAACTCCGCCCACTTTGGTCAAGCCCCGCCCACCAATGACAGTTGGCCTCCACTCCTCCACCCACCTCTATCCACCTTTTTCCCGGCCTCCGGGACTTCTTGGAGCCGAGTTATGAATTTTCGTCGCAAACTCCGCCCACTTTGGTCAAGCCCCGCCCACCATTGACAGCTGGCCTCCACTCCTCCATACACCTCTATCCACCTTTTTCCGGCTCTTTAGGACTTCCCCGACCCGAATTATGAGGGCTTGTAGAAAATGCTGTACACTTCAGAGCGCGCCCCGCCCATTCTGGGCAGGCCTCCGCCCACGTCATGTATGCAGGAAACACCTTAGACATTGCTCCCTTACACCAAATTGTTTTCTGCTCTGTAGGCTTTCTCCCAACCGAGTTATGAAATTTTCATAAGCACTGCTTTTTTAGAGAACGCCCCGCCCACCGGGGGTGGGTCTCCCTAATTCGATGTGACTTACCAATGCACACCTTACCCACTTTTTGGCCCAGTTTCGAGGTCGTTTTGTCACTGAAATCGAAATCTTGGTCTTCGGTACAATTCATTTCGACGCACGCCACGCCCTCTGTGGGCGGGGCTCCGCTTAGCTGATGTGTGTTTTGTATTACGTGAGACCTTGCCCACCCATCCCACACTTGACCCGGTCCCTCCAGGCGGATCCCGAGGAGCTAGGGAATTTCGTGACAGACATACAGAACGACAGACAGAGGGACAGAACGACAGACACGACAGAACGACAGACGAAGCGCTTTATAGTAAGTAGGATATTCCATTCATAAAAATAGGTTCTTGCTTAGATCTGCATTTTATGGAGGATGTTACGATAAATTAGATGTGGAACAAGGGAGGTAACTTCAGGGAGAGCATCTTTTCTTATTTACTTGGGCATCATCACTACGAAGGGATCCCGGGTCCCAAAGGAAACGAGAAGAGGTTTGTATCGCGGCGAAGGGCGCGCCCATTGCCACGTTGCTCACCCTAACCAAGGAAGGCCAAATAAGGAATTGTAAAACTGCAAAATGAACCTGCCAAGGAAGTTGTGAGCAGTCAAAGTTGGCTAAAGTAAAGCGTTGCATATGAACCGTGCTGGACCCCAGGCTTTCAGAGTCGCCGCGGAGTAGTGGTAGTGCCCTCGCTCTTCACCCGGGAGGTCATAAGTTCTCTTCCCGTTGAGTGCAAATTTCGAGAGCACTACCACTACTCCACGGCGACTTTGAAAGCCGGAGGCTAGCACGGTTAATACGTAACGCTTTACTTCCAGCCAACTTTGACTGCTCACAACTTCCTTGGCAGGTTCATTTTGCAGTTTTAGTTTCCATATTTGTAATCAGCGTTTGAAGCTCTATCGATATATCTGGGTCTCAAGTCAAAGTTCCATGGGAACTTGAAAAGGCCGATGTCAAATTTTCAAATCCAGCGAGTCACTAGTAGCGAACTTCGTGGATTCGTTAGCGAAGCACTGACACCGGCCTCACCCTGGCGAGCTTTGCTGCAGTGCGTGGCCCGCCTTCTACTGGGGACTCACGCCATAACTGGTTAAATACTGATTCTTTTCTCATCGCACTTTGCTCTTCGTTTTGAAGAGGCTTTTATTGTAAATGAGCATATCATTGAGTTTTTTTAAGCAGCGCGCTGTCAGTCCAAGGATGATGCTTTTGCATGATTGAAATTAGCACGAGCAAGCGAGCTTGGCTTGGTCACTGACTTGTTCAAAGCAGAGTTGGAGAAAAGGGATTCCATTTTCCGGGTTTTGGGTCGTTATCTCTCGGATTTTTCTCGACCAGAGCTTACTCCGCCACCTCTACTTTTATTCCAATGAGCAACGATTTTTTTCGTACCTCTTATCCTCCTTAATCCTCCTTTGAACTTCATTGACTGTATCTGAGAAATTCACTAATCACCATGGGCTGGCAAAGGGATGAAAGTAAAAGATTCCGCATGTCGATCAGCCTATTTAAAATGCGCCACGGTCTTGTCTTTTCCGAATCGAAGCAACATTTTGAATGCGATGTCAATCCACTGACTTGGGAAGGGGGGGGGGACATGCCGTGCGTTAATCAGTGGATGTGATCATCGGACCGAGTGGCTGGTACGTGGCGCTACTTGCCTCTACACAACTCCTGCACTAACTAACTTAACCATACTTTCTATTGTCCTCTTGCACACGAGCAATTTGCAATTCAGCCTTTTGAAAAGCGCCATCTGAAGCCGCTGAACTACAGAGAGTACGTTGGGTACACTCGAGCCGATTTCATTATGCTGTATGATTATGCGATCAATTTCATTGATTTCAACGAGTTGGAAGCTTCACAAAAGGTAAACCCAACAATGATCCCTATTGCTAAATGTTATGGATCTCATTTCCAGAACGTTCTCTACCGCTACGTGTGTGGTGTAGACTCGCTCATGAATACTGCCTACTTCACCACATGTCTTGGTTATGAGGACAAGAGGGTGATACTGAGCTCCTGCGAGTACATTTGTATCGATCCTATGCCAATGACTGGTGACGAACCATGGGCTCAGCATCTGTTCAGCAGCAAGGAGGACCAGATTAAATACAAGTGTGTTTGTAAAGTCCTCTCCTGTATTCAGGGCTCACCAAGAAAAACATTCTCGAGCGTTCAGATCGATCATACCATGGAAGGCTGCTCTCTGGTCCAGTTTGGTAATCCCGTTCCATGATCTCGACATACAATTTGAGGAGTTTTGCATCTTGAAAGCACTCACCTGTTGGCATATTAGTGAGCATAGCTCCCAAAAATTCAAATGCATGGTTCTATTTCAAAGCCGAAATATTTGCTTCAGGTCATTACAAATTCAATGAAGATGGCCGACGGATTTGCGATAGACAACGGAAACCTTCTCATCCAATGTCTCATGGATATTTGCCGGGAGCGAGTCGATGATCCCTCAGAACGAGTCGGGAATTTGATCCTGTACATATCCTGCGTTTTCGTGGGTTTTCTAAATATTTCATCGCCTTATGCCTTCATAGTAATCGGAGCCATGATAGAACGCAGTGGTAAAAGCGAGGGATTACGATAAAGTAAGTGTGCAGCATGGAAGTACATGCATCAGTGGGAACTCGTCAGGGGTCGATGAAGTTGAGATGCGGCATTTTCTTGGCAATGGATGCTATTGGGTCGGAGCATAATATCGTAGGGCTCGCATTCGGCAAAAACGTTTGAAGCGAAACCCAAAAGAAAGCCAGGCATAAAACTCGATCAACTTGTCTTCTTTCCACTTACTTTACGACTCTGGGCATTTCTCAAGATATCTCGCGCGCCGTTTAAAAGGTCAAAAAGGTACTGAGCCTCTCCCGTTTTTCAGAATCCTCGATCTATGTCTGCAAATTCTATTACGACTGGTGTATTGTTTTATTCGAACAATAAGAATCTGTCATCGCCTGCGCATAGCTGGCGATGATTCCCTCACGACCTCACGTCTGGCGGGGCGTGCCCATACTGTATAAGCAGAAACAGATACTACAATCATATATACCTTCTCTTGCAGCCATACAATAAAGGCGTTCTACTCTCTCTCTGTACATATCCTAATATAAATCCACTGAACCACCGCGAGGTGATTAAAAGGGTCCACCATAACCCTAAGTCTCTAGTCACCCGCAACAGCTTGGTGCATCGGCCTAAATAAGCCAAATTCTCCCGTGTCAAAGCGTCGCAACTTTGAGGCCTGGAGTCGAGACTAGCTCTTTGAGCAACTTTTCATAGGTCGAACTAAGACCTCGAATCTTTGATTCATAAGTCTCCCGTCACAGTACCTGGAGCAACTCTTCTGCAAACAAAGCAGACTAAATCTCCCGTCACAGTACCTGGAGTCAATTTGCTACATTAATAGCAAAGTAAGTATTTCAAAAAAGAAATACACAAACAAATAAAATAAAATGGCACTTTTATTCCACAAGATGCCTATCATCTTGAGTGCCAAGACACTCAAAAACCTAGTACTCCGTTATAAAGAGTACACCATCTAAAACAGATTTCACTGTCATAGATGAGGAAAATTATGAGAAATGTAGGTCCACAATAGCACTACTGCAAAGTGGCCTACAGCAAATAAAATGCGGCCAAGAAAAATTGGAAAAGAGGCACGCAGAAATCAAAGAAGAGTACAAAAACTGCAAATCAAAGTCAGAGAGAAAAGAAATAGCGACGGAAATCGAGCAAATAGAAGATGAGTCGGGCTTGAACTTAGTAATGGCCGAATCTGAGGACTTATGTTTCATGTTAATGGCACGGCTCGATGAAGCAAAGTGTGCCAGAGACAGAATGAACGTCAAACTAGGTTATGTTACTCAAAAGGCACAAATTGAAAATATTGAGCCTCAAAGTCACGAAGTGCATACTATCCCAGATGAGGGCAGAATCAGCACCGAAACTGCGGAAAACAGCACCTCATGCAGTGCACCTCTTTTGGAGCAAGTCAGCCAAGAAAATTCCAACAAAAGGATTACGTGCAGGTCCATAAAACCTCCACAAGCCACCTTACCAAAATTCTATGGAAACTCAGAAGATTTTCCGGAATTTTGGGCAATCTTCGAGACACTTGTTCATAAAAGCAATGAGCTCCATGTGATGGAGAAACTTCTACTACTCAAAGAGAGCCTGGAAGGCCGAGCTCAGAATACAATAAAAGGTATTCAACTTGTTCCAGAAAACTACAACTGGATTATTCAAACATTGAAGGATAGCTACCATAATCAGACTGCAAATCGGTCAAAAATAATTCAAAAGCTGGTGAATATGGAACCAGCTACTAATTCCGCAGACAGTTGCTCGGATGTCCTCGACCAAATACAGGTCCTAATCAATCAAATGATATCCGCAGGATACGATGTGCGAAAAACATGTGATCCTATATGGTGCGAGACAATTCTAGCCAAATTTCCTCAAGACGTAGTTAAGCCGGTCTTGATATCAGGGCAATCGCAACTTGACCAAACAACAGAAGAATTAATGGGTCATCTCAAGAAAGAGATTGCCGCTAAGCTGTACATCGAGAACAGACTTGGCCACACAATCGAAAACAGATCTGGCCATGCTATCGAAAACAAGGGCACCCTGCTGCGACAAAGATACACTTTACGACCTCAATATGGCGAAGAGTGCGCATTTTGCCGCAGAAACAACCACACGTCAATGGCATGTCCAACTGTCACTGACCAGAACAGTCGCCGCAAATTATTGAAGAAGGAGAACAGATGCTGGAAATGCTGTTCATTTGACCACAACAGCTACGACTGCCACCAACCGAATTGCAGTCAGTGCGGGCAAAAACACCATTCAAGCCTTTGCTATGGAACAAATAGTCAGAATGAAGCGAATCAAAGTGGACCGCCATGGAATCAATCGCAACATGCGTCCTTTTCAACAATTTCAAGTCACTCAAGGCAACTTCGTCGAAGTAGTGGTGCAACTCGTGATAATCACAGAGTTATCATCAACAATCTTTGATGGCCTAAAGAAAGGTAAATCAAAGTTGCTAACATAACAACTATATTTTGATGAACCGCTGAAGAAGTATCTACAACCTACAGAACGAAAAATACCATAAGGTGGTTTTCTTCTTTGACACTGGAGCACAAAAAACGGTCATTCAAGAGTCGCTAGCCGAAAGGCTTGGTCTTCCACGCCGAAGCACCGAAATTTGCTCAGTCTCGGGCATTGGCGGTCATATTGAGAAGTTTGAAAGCCATACAGTAGGCGTCAAAATAAGTACTGCTTTCGGAGAAGAACTCAAGTTCAATTTCCAAACGAAACCAGTAATTACAAACAGTTTTCCAAGTGTCAATCTCACACCCACCCGACACGATGTTTTTGAAAGAAAACGACATCTGCTTAGCTAACTCCGAAGCTTCGAGGAGAACATCTCATTCCATGTGTTCTCGTGGGTTTAGATCACTACCACGAGCTCGTAGAAACTCCTACAAGTGGAATGAAAACCCCATCTGGACTGCACATATCGAAGACCGTTTTCGGCCCTGCAATATATGGAAAGGGAGAGGTCCCAAACCAACATGTAAATAGATGCAATGGTATGCTTACCATCGATTTTGCCACCGTACAAGACACTACTGCCTTACGGCTGTAGAGTACGCAACTTTAGGGAGAAAAGTCCTATAAATAAACAGCATAAGAAGAAAAGTTCCTGTCCGAATGTTGTAAGGGTCGCGTTAGTGCACCAAAAACAGTTATCCGAAAATAGGGCCTGTGGCAAAGTGGCCGAGCCAACTGCCTCGATCCACGGCCCAGTTGGGTCAGCAAGAATATTGATCCAAAACCATAGGGTCGCTAACAGATTCACAAAGAAAAAACCTCTAACCGCAAGAAATCTGAACAAGCGCGGTTAACCTTCGCATATTCCACCCAACCTTGTCATTCGAGCATAAAAATACCGTTTCTTCTGAAGGGCGACACAAGTTTCTTCGACGAAAGTCGACATTATTGCCCACGTATTCCCTGGGGCGGCGGTGATTCGCACTCCGTATCCGACCCGGCTGTACAAAGATGCGTCACCACAGATATCCAATCACTTGGTGAATAGCTGAGTTTTCAAGCTTTCTTCTAATCACCCTAAGCAGTAGTCTCCAACATCAACAACCTCTCCATCACCTTCAACCTCATCTCCCTTCGCCGCCAACAATGCCTCCTACTCTCGACGCCGCCCGACGCCTCATCCACTCAACATCCATCAACCACTCAACAACCATCAGCCGCTCAACAATGGAACTATGATACATATTTATTTCTACGTTGCTGAAACCTTGTTTCATGTGTTGTTCACTTCGCCGCCTCGCCGGAGTGTCATCGCCTGCGCATCGCTGGCGATGACTCCCTCACGACCTCACGTCTGGCGGGGGCGTGCCCATACTGTATAAGCCTTGAACAGATACTACAATCATATATACCTTCTCTTGCAGCCATACAATAAAGGCGTTCAACTCTTCTCTCTGTACATAGTTCCTCCTCCTCATACATAAATCCACTGAACCACCGCGAGGTGATTATAAAAGGGTCCACCATAACCCCAAGTCTCTAGTCACCCGCACAATGTGATAGCATCTTATTCATTATATATCATCCCGTTTCAAGACTTTTCTATCACTTTTCATATTCTTATTATGACTTTCAATACATTATACGAAGTTATACGATTCTGAAAATCAAGATTTTCGAACATCATTGAATAATCTTCCATGTGTTCGTACATGTCGAAACTTGAACTCGTCACAGATTTTGCTTTATTTGGTAATTTTGTTTCATTTTTTACTTCTGTTTCATGTATTTACTTTGCTAGCTTCGGGATGTGCTTTTCAATAATGTGGTTTACTTATTAATTAATTTATTTATTGAATGCGCCCGAAGTAACAAACAACTTAAAGCTAGAGAAGCAGATACTACTGTGAATGTTTTCCAGAGAAGAAAAATCAACCATACCAGGATAAAAACCTAATCGATTTCTGACAAATTAACCCTATATTAGACTTTTCTCTCAATGCTATGGAAACGTTTAAAATTTACAGAAAATTCGATAATACTCATCCGGCTCAAAGAACAAAGAATAAACAATCCCACACCCACTTCTATTAAGAGTGCCGAGACAGAAAATGATAGTGTCCTGTTGATAGCGAGAGAATTGAAGAGAATTAAGATGGGCAGCTGCGCACTACATGCTTGACAACTCAAGTGAATAGCACCAATCACTGTGAGTGTTGACATGGGTCGACACTGATTGAATGATGTTTCTTTTGAACTACATACGACAATGTCAAAGTCACTAATTGCAATATATTTGTCGCTTACA